AATTTTGAGCATGATTTTGCTTGCGTGGGACATCAGTGCTATGGTCCTCTAGTTGCTACTGTTTCTTGTGTCTTCCTTTCTGTGGATGGGGATGTATATTGATTGCTTCCAATCTGTTGGCCATTGTTTTGTTTTCCATATCTGTTGATATATGTTGGTTAGCACTAGAGTTGACTCTCTCAGCATGGATTGCAGCAGTTCAATTGGAATATCATATGTTCTTCATGGTTTGTTTTTCACTGTTCCTGTTATTGAAGTTTCCACCTTGCTTTTTAGAATATGGGGTTCATCTTTGTATGGCTTTTCGTCCCATGTGTCCTTCATTTTGTCATCTCTTTTGTATAATTCTTCTCTGTATTGCATCTAACGTATTTTTATTCCTTCCTGGTCTTGAATTATGTTATTTTTATTGTCATAGAGTGTCCCAGTCCTTGGTTTGAATTTTCCTTTGATTTCCTGGATCTTGTGAAATAGATCTCTTGTTCTTCCCTTTTTGTTGTTGTCTTATATTTCTCTGCATTGGTCATTGTAGCAATTTTCTTTATCTCTCCACACAAGCTGTTGTACTGTTGCATTCATAATTCTTTGTTCCTATCTCCCTTTTGTTTTTCTTCTCTTCATTTCTTTATTGCTTGCTGTTTTTTTTCCTGTCATCCATGGTTTTTTCTCTTTCTTTTTGTTTATTGAAAGTCTGCATTCTTCTTTTATAATGTCCCTGGCTTCAGACCATCATTCCTCTGGTTCCCTAAACATGCTGACTTCAATATCAAAGGCCCTATCACATTTCACAATTATTTGTGTGTGTGTTGTGTGCCTTCAAGTCATTTCTGACTTATGGCGACCTTAAGGCAAACCTATCATGGGGTTTTCTTGACAAGATTTGTTCAGAGGGTTAGGGTTAGGGTTAGGGAGGTTCAGAGGAGGTTTGCCATTGCCTTCCTCTGAGGCTGAGAGCACGTGACTTGTCCAAGGTCACCTTGTGGCTTTCATGGCTGAGTTGGGAATTGAATCCTGGTCTCCTGAGTCATAGTCCAGCACTATGATTTCATTTCAACTGCCATTACTATCTCTGATGGAATCCTGGGGTTTGTAGTTTAGAGTTGATCTCTGTGGGCATAAGGAAATATCTATGGGATAAGGAGAGCTACTATAATAATTAATGTGAAGAAACAGAAGTTGAGAAGAAAAAAGGAAGAACAAGAAACCTTGTCAATAAAATCTGAGACATCAAAAGGGAATTCAAAGGAAGAGTGGAGATGCTCTACGACCAGCAAGGGAACACATTATATGACCAAACAGAAATAAAAAGACAATGGAAACAATATACTGAAGAACTATATAAAAGAGATGAAAGGATGACAGATTCATTCAATGAAGAACCATTTGAAAATGAGTCTACAATTTTAGAAAGTGAAGTGGAAGCTGCACTCACAGCATTTCAAAGAAGTCAGTCACCAGGAACAGATGTCATACCAAAAGAGCTGCTTCAGTCCTCAAAGACACAATCAGCTCTAGTCCTAACTAAAAGCTGTCAACAAATATGGAAAACAAAACAATGGCATTCATTATACATCCCAGTCCCAAACAAAGGGTAAACCAGGAATTGCAATTATCACAGAGCCAGGTCATTAATTTCCTATGCAAGCAAAGTGACACTAGAAATTGTACAACAAAGACTTTTAACTTATATGGAATAAGAAATGTCAGATGTCAAAACTGTATTTGGGAAAGGAAGATGCATTAGGAATCATATTGCAAATATGCACTGGATAATGGAGCATACCAAAGAATTTCAGAGGAAAATCAGCCTGTGTTTTATAGAATGGATCATGCCCAGAGGAAGGTAACTAAAATGGTGAAAGGTCTGGAAAGGAGCAGCTAAGGGAGCTGGGCATGTTTAGCCTGGAGAAGAGAAGGTTAAGAGGTGACATGGTAGCCACGTTTAAATATTTGAAGGGATATCATATTGAGGATGGAGCGGGCTTGTTTTCTGCTGCTCCAGAGACTAGGATACAACAATGGATTCAAGCTACAGAAAAAGAGACTCCACCTAAACATTAGAAAGAACTTCCTGATGGTTAACGCTGTTCAACAGTGGAATACACTGCCTCAGAGTGTGGTGGAATCTCCTTCTTTGGAAGTTTTAAAACAGTGGGTGGATGGCCATCTGTTGGGGGTGCTTTGATTGTGTATTCCTGGATGACAGGACTGGCACTTGTGTCTCTTCCAGCTCTATGATTCTATGATGACTTTAGCAAAGGCTTTGATTGTATAGATCATTAAAAGTTATGTATTGCTCTTAAAAATGGGTGTACCACAATATTTGATAGTCCTGATATGCAATCTGTATTCAGGGCAAGACCAAGAGACTACTGTTAGGACAGGATAGGGAGAAACAGAATGGTTTCCAACTAGCAAGGGGGTCAGGAAATGCTGCATTTTATCACCCAATCTGTTTCACTTGTATGCTAAATGTATCATATGTTAAGCAGGATTAGATTCAGAAGAAGGAGGCATGAACACTGGAGGAATAAACATCAACAATCCCAGATATATAAAAGATGCCATACTACTAGCAGAAAATAGCAAAGACTTGGAACGATTATTGAAGAAAGGCAGAAAGTGCAAACACAGGTTTACAATTGAACTTAAGAAAACAAAAATAATGACTACATGTGATTTACATAACCTTAAAGTAGATTATTAAATCATTGGGATAGTTCAAGATTTTCCATGCCTTGGCTCAGTCATTAATCAGAGTGGAGACTGCAGCCAAGAAATCAGAAGAAGGCTAGGACTTGAAAGGGCAGTTATGAAGAAACTCAACAAGTTTCCTGAAATGTAAAGATATGTCACTGAATGCTAAAGTTAGGATGGTCCATGCCATTGTGTTCCCCATTTCTATGTATGGCTATGAAAGATGGTCAGGGAAGAACGCTGACAGGAGGAAAATACATGCATTTGAGTTGGAGAAGATTTGTGTGGATACCATGGACTGCTAAAAAGACAAATCAATGGGTCATAGAGCAAATCAGGCCCAAAGTCTCCCTAGACATCAAGATGACTAAACCGAGGCTGTCATACTTTGGCTGTACCATGAGAAGACATGACTCACCAGAAAATACAATAATGCTTGGTAAAGTGGAGGGAAGTAGGAAAAGAGAAAGACCACATTCCAGATGGATATACTCGATCAAAGAAGCCACAGCCCTGAATCTGCTAGACTTGAGCAGGGTGGTTGATGATTGAATGACTTGCAGGACTCTCTTTCATAGAGTCACCATAGGTCAAAGGTGACTTGAAGGCAGCTGACAACAACAAAAAGTTGATCTCTGACTGAGAATCCTAACTACCCCTCCTTCTAGTGCAAATTCCAGGATTCCATAGGCTGTTGCTATGACAGTTAATGTGGAATCATAGTGCTATAATTGTACAGAATGAAAGGGCTCTCCAAGTTACGACTTGGGATATGTGATTAGGATACCATGGAGTGTGGGGAAGGACCTCAATAAAGTACTTTTAATGCAAAATGTTCACAGTAACAAAATAGCTGGGAAAAAGTGTGACACAATGTGTTTGTGTTACTATTCCCAGTTAGCCTACAGAAAGCAGCCAATGAAACAGGGAAAGAGAGGGAAGAGCTAGTGGCATGACATCACACAGCAAGGTTTTTCCAACTACATGTTACCATGGAGATGTGCCTTGGCAGTGTCCACACACTATCCCCAGTGATGTGTAGTGTGTGCCTGAATATAATGGCTTCTCACATTTATCTGC